AAACTTGACTCTTCTGTAGTTACATCGTGCACTAAGACTGACGGAAAATGTAAAGTTGCGATTTTCTAGGCTGATATGGCTAGGAACTATACTCTCATTCCTGCGTAATAATCAAGAAACTTCACTGCCGTACCATGAGTGCAGCAGGCGTAATGATATGACGCAGCGCCTGAAAATAGTTCCGTTGTGTTGACGGAAGGTGGCCTATTTTCAGGCGCTGCGTCATATCATTACGCCTGCTGCTCTCATGGTACGGCAGTGAAGTTTTTTGATTATTACGCAGGAATGAGAGTATAGTTCCTAGCCATATCAGCCTAGAAAATCGCAACTTTACATTTTCCGTCGGTCTTAGTGCACGATGTAACTACAGAAGAGTCAAGTTTTAAATAGGAAAAATATCGAAACTCTTTGGTCATTTTTCTTTTAGAAATGCTAATGGTCTTGTCCACTTCAATGATGTATGCTAAGCTATGCTAAAAGTGGTACCGCCAGAACCGGAGATCGGCTGAATGGTAAAAAAAAAAACGGTAAAACTCAACAGTTTAACTCTGGGGGAGTTGTAAAATGAGCCTATTTCCAAAAAAAGTGGAGTATCCCTTTAAGTGAGAATTAGCATGATAGCACACTTGGCTATGATACTGTTTCATCACAGAAAATGTTCACAAATGAGCTGCTTTTGTTACTACTATTTTAATCATGACAACCAGTTATTACAGTTTTTCTCAAATGCTAAAACACAAAAGCCAATCCTCTAAACCAAAATGACCAGTTGTCTAAACACATTTACTAAATCTAGCCATCATTTTCCAATATCATAAACACATTTCACATGAAGATACAATTCACAAAACACAATCCTCCGTTCTCATAAATCTTAACACATTTTTCCTTGCTTAAACACAAGTTGCAAAAGAACTCTGCTCATATTCTCAAATGAAAGCTCATGTGATGCAAAATGCTTGCCACAGTCAGCAATATTTGAACACAATGAACACACCTGGCGTCATTCATTACACACAACGACTCAAAATTGAAGACACTTGTTGCTAATGCTGTGACCACATGTATAAAAGCAAGTTCAGAGTGCACAGTTTGCTGAAGATTCCAAACAAACACAATAGATGAAGGCAGAGTCAGGGGAAGAGGAATTCGAGTCAGAGGAGGGAGAAGAGCTGGCCATGGAAGAAGAGGAGCAGGCCAACGAGGGAGAGGAGGCGCCCAACAAGGGAGAGGAGGAGGCCAACAAGGGAGAGGAGGAGGCCAACGAGGGAGAGGAGGCGCCCAACCAGGGAGAGGAGGAGGCCAACAAGGGAGAGGAGGAGGCCAACAAGGGAGAGGAGGAGGCCAACAAGGGAGAGGAGGAGGCCAACGAGGGAGAGGAGGAGGCCAACGAGGGAGAGGAGGAGGCCAACGAGGGAGAGGAGGAGGCCAACGGGGGAGAGGAGGAGGCCAACGAGGGAGAGGAGGAGGCCAACTAGGGAGAGGAGGAGGCCAACAAGGGAGAGGAGGAGGCCAACAAGGGAGAGGAGGAGGCCAACAAGGGAGAGGAGGAGGCCAACAAGGGAGAGGAGGAGGCCAACAAGGGAGAGGAGAAGGTCCAGGAGGGAGAGGAGGAGGCCAACAAGGGAGAGGAGGAGGCCAACAAGGGAGAGGAGGAGGCCAACAAGGGAGAGGAGGAGGCCAACAAGGGAGAGGAGGAGGCCAACAAGGGAGAGGAGGAGGCCAACAAGGGAGAGGAGGAGGCCAACAAGGGAGAGGAGAAGGTCCAGGAGGGAGAGGAGGAGGCCAACAAGGGAGAGGAGGAGGCCAACAAGGGAGAGGAGGAGGCCAACAAGGGAGAGGAGGAGGCCAACAAGGGAGAGGAGGAGGCCAACAAGGGAGAGGAGGAGGCCAACAAGGGAGAGGAGAAGGTCCAGGAGGGAGAGCAAGACAACCTCGCACCATCATTACGGATGAGATGCGAGCAACAGTCATTGACCATGTCATTGTCCATGGCATGACAATGGCTGAAGCAGGACTAAGAGTCCGTCCAAACCTGAGTAGGTTCACCGTGGCCACCATTATCAGGGCATTCAGACAACACAACAGGTATTGTATTATATTGCTTTCTTTGTCACAATACAATTTTACAAGCCTGTGAAAGTAGTCTATTGGTTTCAAATCAGTTGTTACTGTATTGTATAGGGGCGGCAGTGGCTCAGTGGTTCATGTAGGTTGTCTGCAAACCGAAAGGTTGGTGGTTCAATCCCCGGTTCCACCTGACCAAGTGTCGAGGTGTCCATGAGCAAGACACCTAACCCCAGCTGCTCCCGACGAGCTGGATGGTGGCTTGTATGGCAGACACCGCCGTCGGTGTATGAATGAGTGTGTGAATGGGTGAATGTGAGGCAAATGTAAAGCGCTTTGGTGGCCATTGGGTCTGTGAAAGCGCTATAGAAATGCAGTCCATTTACCATTTATTGTAAAACATGTCAATTGACAACACATGTTTCTTTCTTTAGAGTTGAAAGAATGCCACATAGAGGTGGGAGGGTTGCCATATTTACAGTGGCACAAGAAACCCTCATTGTGGATATGGTTCGTGAGAACAACCTCATCAGACTCCGGGAGATCAGAGACAAAGTTATATTATTATAAAGAGTATAATATTACTCTTTGTGCGCCCATGGGTTTGGAGGGGCTTGTCCACCGGCATGCTGTCCTTGGGTCTTACAACACCCAACGTCTCCTCACCTTCCTAGAGGAGCAAAAAGACATCCTCCTGGACCGCCAACAACACCATCCTGGGCCCGCACATCACATTTATGTGATCATTTGGGACAATGTACGCTTCCACAGAACAAACCAAATCAGAGAGTGGTTCACCGCCAACAGTAACCACTTTTTAAACGTCTGTCTGCCACCCTACTCCCCTTTCCTGAACCCTACAGAGGAGTTCTTCTCATCGTGGAGATGGAAGGTTTATGACAGACAACCATACACTAGAGAGAACCTCCTAAGGGCAATGGAGCTGGCCTGTGTTGACATCCCAGTGGAGGCCTTCCAAGGATGGATTCGCCATTCCTGGGCGTTTTTCCCGCGGTGCCTGACAAGAGACAATATAGCCTGCGATGTGGATGAGGTGATGTGGCCCGATGCAGCTCAGCAACATGATGCCGCACAGTGATTGTGGTGTGTGTGTGGTGTGAATAAAGTAAATAAAAAACTTCACACCCTGATCATGTTTTCAAGAGTACTGTTGTGTGCAATAGATTCTGTTTTTGCATTGAGTTGTGTTACAGTAGTGTACATGCAGAATTTACTATAGATACTCTTCATTTGAAACTCACAAATCTAAATGCCTAATCCTCTGCAGAGATCTAAGAAGATCCATTACTGTAAAGTTTCTAAAAAATATGCATTGGCAGTTATGAAACAAAGAACCTTCTCACAAATTGAGCATTGTGTTTTCAATTATTTTGCTGTAGTGTGTATTGATGTGTATAGTGTTTACATTTTTGAAAGCTTCGAGCTGCTCTTTTGGTGTGAAAGTTTGAGTTTTGAACTGAGAAGCTGTGGTTGTGTTTATGTAGCTTTAGAAAAGGGTGTTGTGTTTAGACATTGGGGAACATGGAGGAAACGTTTGTGAAATGTGTTTTAGCATTTGAGAAAAACTGTAATGCAGTGACTCTCTTTTGGACACTGATGACTCCTGGTATAGCTTACCAAAGCACCATAAAAATGATTCAAATATGAAAATACAAGTAATGGAATTTTCTGAAGCCATATGACAAATAACAACTGTAAAAAGAGAGTTGAGAGCTGCAGCAGAGGGGAATATTTTCAATGAATAATAACTTAAACTGCAGTCTTTTCATCACATAAAACTTCAGAGGACTAGAAATGTAGTGAACAAGCTGTATAGACTAGGCTATGTTTATGTTTTTATGGTGTTTATTTGTGTGCCAACTTTTGAGCTTGACAGCCATGCTCACTACAAAATTCTGACAGTAATATCATTGGGGCAGTTGAGGCCTAATAGTTAAAGTCAGACTTTTAAACTGAAGGTCATGGGTTCGATTCTCAATACCGGCAGAAAAATGACTGAGGTGCCCTTGAGCAAAGTGAAAGGCTGCCCAATGTTCACTACTCACTGCTCCTAATGTGTGTGCACTAACTTAAATGCAGAGGACAAGAAGAGGAAGAGGAAGGCCATTCTTGGCCATCACTTCACTTCATTCTCGGGTAAACTATTCTTTTTGAAAAAGTTTGTTCTTAGATATGAGATATAATCTTTTTTTTTTACCAACAACATTGCATAAGGCACATCCAAAATATTTTTAGAGCTGATTTTATTGCAAATGCTGAATTTGTAATAGCATACATGAACACTGCTATTATTATTCCTGCCATATATAGAAGATAAGGCAAGATGTTAAGAGTAGTGATGGGAAATACTGCTTCGTGAACCACTGTTTCAAATCTTTTGTTTCAAAACAGTGGTTCGGAGTGGGTATCAAACTGCTAAAGTCACGTGATTTGATCAGCAAGTGAGGCTTCGTAACGTCACAGCTGTTTCAGAAAGTTTCGTAAAGGTTCTCTGCTAGGGGGAGCGATCTCAATTTCGAAATTTGTTGGTGTGAAAATGTCTTGTTTCAGTAAAGTAACCATTATAAAATGTTGTTAGTCTGGCGTGAATTTCTGTAATGACTTTATTACTTTATTACGATAAAATTCTGAAATGCATTGAATTCTGAAATGTACAAATTAATAAAAGAACACACATTATAAAGACATTTCATATATTTAATAGTATTATGAGATTGCGTTTAATACATTAAAACTAAAAAAAAATTGCAATTGGTTTGTAATAAGTGTTTTCATACAAGTTTGGGCTGAGTTTGGTCACATTTATACTGTATTGAGCAGCAGGTGCTGCCAGTGAATTACTTTGCAAATAAAATTAATTGACCCAAATGATTCAAGAGTAGTATTCTAGTATGCTTCGAATTAGGCCTTGGTTACAAGTATAACTGTTTTCTGCTGCTATTGTTTTGAAATATTTCCCCAGTTACAATAATCCTCACAGCTTTTCTGAACCAAGAATACATGAATGCATAAATAAAAGGATTTAAGGCGGAATTAACATAGCCAAACCAAACAAGTGCATCAATCAGCATCGGGGGTGTTGTGTAGCCAATAAAAGGATTCAGGATGTTACAGAGGAAAAAGGGAGTCCAGCAAACCAGGAAAACTCCAACCACGATAGCAATCGTTATTGTAGCCTTCAGTGCCCGACGTTGCATGCTTCCTGATGGATAACTTCTCCTAAACTGGTTCAGTTGATGATTAATAGATCTCGCTTGGTTTTGGGCCACCATGTAGATTCTAGAATAGATCCCAAGAATAATGAAGCTAGGGATGTAGAAAGAAACCAGGGAGGTGACCACTGCCGGACCGTGACTAAAGAAGACGTGGCACCCTCCCACACATTGTACATGTGTTTCGTAGAAGTCCTTGGCACCCTGGAGGTTGAGCTCAAAGAAGATAATCGCATAAGCGAATATGGCAGGGATTAGCCAGCTGGTAAAGATCATAAACAGCACAGTTGGAAAACTGATGCGGGAATGATACGTTAAAGGGCCGCACACGGCGCAACAGCGCTCAGCCGACACACTCACAAGATGGAAAATCGAAGAGGTGCTGAGAGTAATGTCAACGCATGTGTGTAACTTGCACAAGAAATCACCAAAGTACCAACAGCCCTGAATGGAACGAACGGCACTCAATGGCATTATAAACATCCCGAGCAGAAAGTCACACAGAGCGAGAGACAAAATCAGCTGGTTTGTTGGTGTGTAGAGTTGCTTGAAATGCCCTATGGAGATGATGACCAGTAAATTCCCAATGACAGTCAAAAAAGTGATCAACATCACAGCGATGAGCTTTGGAACGTGGACACTGTTCGGTTGCACATACTTCCCACAGGATCCATTCAAAGCCTCATAACAGAGATCCATTTTAGTGTTTCATAGTCCATTGAGCTTGATCTGATGTTGAATGATACGTGAAGCAAAAACTCATGCAAACTAATAGTCTCGTGGATGGGCTGGTTTTAGTCTGTTGACATTTGTACCATCTACATTGTAAAATGGCTATAAATAACGCCATGATTTAAATTAAAGTCTAAACAGACTTTCTCCCAAGGGAGACATGAGTTTTCCAGAATTTTCCTTTTAAGGAATTCCAATAGAAGACGCTATTGTCTCTCTAAGCAGCACATTTTCTCACAAAATATTAATAGAGATACTTAGAAAGTACTGAATGTGTCTTTCCAGCTTCTCTTAGCAAATAATTTGCATTTTAAATTATTCCACCTGCTTTATACACCTAACGGGCAAAGTCCAGTCAAACTGTCTATATATTTATCCATGAGTCATGTTAAAATAGCAACTGTAACTAAGTTTGTTTGCATTTACATGCACATGTGGACTACAAGAGCAAACAGCTGCACGTTAAAGCAACACCAAGTAACTTTTTCTCTGTGGTCGCCCTACAGGTTGGAAGCGGAATTGTGCATTACCGCTGTCGTAAATAATTTAGCCTACCGCAGCCTACTGTCGCACGCACGCTCGCTGTTTATCCAGCACCGGCTTTGGAATGAACAATGTCCACAGACAAGGTAGAGTATGTTGCATGATTTCATGAAAGTATGATGTATTGCGACATCAGAAACGAAGAAAAACAAAATAATGACTATTGTAACGCTTGGCGTAAAGCGAGTCAAATTTGTAGTTTTCTTATGTCACATTAGAACTACAGAAACGCGACCCGATCTGGCAATCTTACATAGCGTGGTTATAGCAGATATAGGACCGCAAAGCGGAGGCATAAGTGCCTTTCACCCTGTTACAACTTGATGAACCACTGAAACGATTTTGGAAACATTATTTTAAGGTAAAAAATCTTACTTAGTGTTGCTTTAAGAAATCAGTACAGAAGCTCCATTCCCATCTCCATGAAAGCACACTATTAGCATACACAATGCTGATAAGTGAAAGGGGAGATAATGAATAAAAAAGCATGGCCACAATGGACTGGAAGCTAACTTGGTTGTCCTAAAGAACATTCAATTATTCATTATGTTTAGGGGGAAATGACGGAATTTTGCCATATATAACTACAGTATAGATAACATTTATATATCATCATTTATTTCCAAAACAATTTCCAACCTTCTACTTGAAAAATAAAATGCAGCAGAAAGCCCTGCTGCTAGACAATGATGGGAAATGTACTGTAGCCCAAGTACCACCTTATAAACCAGCAAAATAAGTAATTTTTTCAGCAAAGAAATTGTTTTTTTCTGCAATGCTTTACAACTATTCTTCATTTCCTCCTTTTTAGGCCTGAGGACTTAATCTCATTTTAAATTACAGCAATCTCATTACATTATGGATACTTCACCAGTGAACAGTTTGCACTTAAAGGCATCAAATGTGTTTTCCTAAGTTTCGAGGTGTTCAAATATTAGTCACATGGCATTTACAACTCAAAACAAATGTTTCTGGAACTGCACAATTTCTGAAACTGCAAGAAAGTGACATCATGGCAACGCTGATTGGCTGATGGCACCACAAGAATGCACAAAGTCTCAAAGACAGCAGACAAGATTTTTTTTTTTTTTAAATATTTAATATTTAAAGAAAAGTCTATTGCATGCTTTAAGGGTAGGCTACGGTGGCCCAGTAGTGCACAACACAATGACATTTAAAAAGCAAACATAAGTTCACAACACAAAGGAAACAAGTCACAATTTATACGTTTTAACCACTTGTTGGAATTGGCAGACGCTCCCTTACGGTAGAGATCCACTTTTGCTACACGACAGTCGCGTGTTGTCGCGACGCCTCCCCACATTTGTACATTGATGGGCGTTCCTCAAGTTTACCGCTATGGGCGTGGTTTTGAGCCAGCGGCCAGTCTAGAACAGAGGACCTGCGAGAGACTTCCCCCCGTCTCCATATGCTCTACTTCTATTGGATAGACGTGGCGCGTTCAACGGAATTCATTTGCATAAAGATGGGCATCGGCCAGCTTTTGACGCGCAGCATTTTTCCAAATGAAGCGCCGCCTTCCCGGGATGCTTTGCGGGCCCGTTAAAGTCGCGTGACGTCACCAATAGGAATTAAGCTGCGTTCACACTACACGCGACCAAGTATGGAACGCGATCGGGGCCAATAGTCTTTTTACGAAACGCGTGAAATTTGGCCGCATCAACACGCACTGTTTGTTCGCGTCAACACGGCAGAAAACACAGTAACCAATGAAATTGCTGTATTTGAGACTATATTTGCATATGTGACGCGCTGGAACGTATGTCTCTCGTTGGTATATACGTATACAAACATCAGAAGTCATGTTTATTAATGAAGGATGTCGTAATAGTATACTGGTCTGCACGTATGCAAACATCAGACGTTGTAATTGTTCACGAGGGATAATGCATGGGTACGTAGTGTGTGATGTCAGCCTTATGTCATGATTTGTCATGGCCTTTTCAGTCTTTTTTAGGTTCATCTAGCGGCAATAATCATTAAATGCTATTTTATGTTATTTTTCCCCACAAAAGGAGACACTTAATGCGTGATCTATTATACGTTTTAACTGGCCATTGCTGTCACGGGGACACACAGGAAAATAGGTAGATCCAAATGCAGTATGGCAGTAGGTGTTTATTAAAGCATAATCCATCTCGTAGTCATCCAGGCAAGGTTCAAAGTCCATGTTAGCAATCCAAATACAAATAAACAAAACAAGAAACAGGCAAGGAATACAGAACTCAGAAGTGTGGTGACCATATAAAACGACTCCGTACACATACTAACACAGACAGGGAATATATACACATATCTAACAAGACTAACACAGAACAGCTGGGAACAATGATTACGGGGAACAGATGAGTGCAATGAACTGATGAGTGACAGTGACAGACAGAATGCTGGGAATTGAAGTCAATTGTAAAGGACACCGTGAGAACGAGGACCTCTAGTGATAGACAAGGGAACACAACCAGACACTGTGACATAACCCCCCTTCTACGGAGCGGCTACCAGACGCTCCACGACAACACTAAAACATGACACAAGAGTTCAGGAGGGAGGTGGAACGGTGGAGGATCAGGGGGAGGGATGGTGGGCCAGGTCCGTGAAGGGAGACAGGAACAAGGGGTGAGGGCTTAACCGGGAACCAGGGCAAAGACGACCACTCGGGCGACCAGGGCGAAGACGACCACTCGGGCGACCAGGGCGAAGACGACCACTCGGGCGGCCACGGCTCAGGAACAGACACCGGCTCAGGAACAGACACCGGCTCCGGCTCTGGAACAGCCACCGGCTCCAGCTCTGGATCAGACACCGGCTCAGGAACAGACACCGGCTCAGGAACAGACACCAAAACTGAAACAGCCACAAGAACAGACACAAACACAGAAACAAACAGTGGTTCAGGAACAGATGCTGGCTCCGGCTCAGGTACAGCAGACACTGGCTCCGGCTCTGGAACAGCAGACACTGGCTCCGGCTCTGGAACAGGCACTGGCTCTGGTTCCGGCTCTGGAACAGGCACTGGCTCTAGCTCTGGCTCTGGAACAGCAGACACTGGCTCCGGCTCTGGAACAGGCACTGGCTCTGCCTCTGGCTCCGGTTCTGGAACAGCAGACACTGGTTCCGGCTCTGGAACAGGAGACACTGGTTCCGGCTCTGGAACAGGCACTGGCACTGGCTCTGCCTCCGACTCTGGAACAGCAGAAACTGGCTCTGCCTTTGGCTCCGGAACAGCAGACACTGGCTCTGGCCTCGGCTCTGGAACAGCATCCACCGGCATGTCCAGGATCCGAGCCAGACGCTCCAGATAGTCTAGCACAGCCTTGGCGGCCACGCGAATGGGCATCTCTTGCTCTGTCCCAGACTGGACAGACGGGACGTGAGCAGTCTCTGACTGGGCAGACGTGACGTGAACAATCTCTGACTGGGCAGACGTGACGTGAACAGTCTCTCGCTGGGCAGACGGGACGTGAACAGTCTCTCGCTGGGCAGACGGGACGTGAACAGTCTCTCGCTGGGCAGACGGGACGTGAACAGTCTCTCGCTGGGCAGACGGGACGTGAACAGTCTCTCGCTGGGCAGACGGGACGTGAACAGTCTCTCGCTGGGCAGACGGGACGTGAACAGTCTCTCGCTGGGCAGACGGGACGTGAACAGTCTCTCGCTGGGCAGACGGGACGTGAACAGTCTCTCGCTGGGCAGACGGGACGTGAACAGTCTCTCGCTGGGCAGACGGGACGTGAACAGTCTCTCGCTGGGCAGACGGGACGTGAACAGTCTCTCGCTGGGCAGACGGGACGTGAACAGTCTCTCGCTGGGCAGACGGGACGTGAACAGTCTCTCGCTGGGCAGACGGGACGTGAACAGTCTCTCGCTGGGCAGACGGGACGTGAACAGTCTCTCGCTGGGCAGACGGGACGTGAACAGTCTCTCGCTGGGCAGACGGGACGTGAACAGTCTCTCGCTGGGCAGACGGGACGTGAACAGTCTCTCGCTGGGCAGACGGGACGTGAACAGTCTCTCGCTGGGCAGACGGGATGTGACTCCTCCTTCTCCTCCTTGTCCGCGAGCAACTGGGTGCTGTTCTCTCCCCGGAATTAACCGGGAGCGCAGCATTCTCATCCCTGATACGAGCACACAAAGCATAACACTCATCTAATGTCATGCGTGGCTCCTCCTCCTCAGCTTGATTCCCATTCCGCTGTCTCCTCTCCCTTTTCATGATTGAGGAAAAATCACGAAAATTCATACCGCTGGATCTATAAGGTGACGGAGTCGTTCTGTCACGGGGACACACAGGAAAATAGGTAGATCCAAATGCAGTATGGCAGTAGGTGTTTATTAAAGCATAATCCATCTCGTAGTCATCCAGGCAAGGTTCAAAGTCCATGTTAGCAATCCAAATACAAATAAACAAAACAAGAAACAGGCAAGGAACACAGAACTCAGAAGTGTGGTGACCATATAAAACGACTCCGAACACATACTAACACAGACAGGGAATATATACACATATCTAACAAGACTAACACAGAACAGCTGGGAACAATGATTACGGGGAACAGATGAGTGCAATGAACTGATGAGTGACAGTGACAGACAGAATGCTGGGAATTGAAGTCAATTGTGAAGGACACCGTGAGAACGAGGACCTCTAGTGATAGACAAGGGAACACAACCAGACACTGTGACAATTGCAAGCATGTAACTGTTTTTTTTTTTGTATTTAAGTGAAATAATATGAAAAATATGTTTATTTACTATTAAAATGATTGATTAAATCCAGGAACTTAGGTAAATAAACTGGATTAATGTAATGATATCTATATTTTAAACATAATTAACTGATATAAGAGTTCTGGGGGGAAAACGGGAAGTGTTTAAAGGTTAAATATTAACCCTCTACAGCACAGCCCTTAGCCCATGTTCAGTACATTTTTCTTTAAATGATTGCAACCAATTAAAATGTTTGAAAAAATACAATAAGGTTTGGGAGTCACTATCAAGGAACCATTTGAAGGTGGGACGTTCTTTTCTGACACATGGTCACTGGAGCATATGATGTGAGAAGAAAGCAAGATTATTTGCTTTAGTAATCTTATTTAAATTGACACGAACTGAAATTAATGTTGCATTTAAATGGCAGTTTCCCAAATTAAACACAAGAGCTGTTAATTTAGAATGATGTGTGTAAGAAATGTGTTTAGAGTTTTGCAAAAAGTTTGAATGGTTTCACCGAGTGAGCCTCAAATTCCACTTTTAGTGTCTTAGAAATTTGAAAAAACTTTAAAACAAACTGTGACAGAGGTCGCCTATGGAATGAACCAAGAACATCTTAAAGTTGCATGGAACTGAGAAGCATGAATGGAAGCAACAAAAAAGACTGCAATAAAAAAAAAAAAAAAGAGAATTATTTTAATGCAAGCAAATATATATATATATATGTATAGGCCTATTGCACACATCAGCTTTGAAATAAAAGAAAATAAATCTGGAAATCTTTTTGTTAGTAATGCACTTAATCTTTTTTTAAAACATGATTATGTAGATTAAGGCCTACTCCTGTCTTCATATAAACCCTGTCTGGGAAACCGCTCCTAAAGGTTTAACAAAGTTATTCTTGCCACTATAACTTAAGTTTATGGGTAAATAAAATATTAACAATAAAAATATAATGAATATCAAAACACATTTAACAATGTAGTAATTTTATTATAGCACTCATCAGCCTGCAGCAGCCAAGATGATGTTCAATACAGACAGAACAGCAGAAACAAACTATACAACCAAACACCAAATTACAAAACATTATGTGAAAGTGAATAAAGTTATGCATGTACGTGTGTGTGAGTGTTTGTGTATTTAGTTACAAAAATGTGCTTGGTAAGTTAGCCTATAATACTTTTGGAGGTTATAACTATAACAAATAATAACCCATATAGATAAATTATAATAACTGTATAATATGGATAATTAGCACTTAATATACATTGTAACATTACTTTACTTTACTCTAGCACAGTAGTCAGTAAAGCAATGCTACAATAAACTAAAGGATTAATATGTAGGTACATCTAAATGTAAGTCTGCTTTTTAAAAATATTACACTTCAATACGTACAGAATGTGCGCGTTAAGAAACACGTTCAAATTGGTCGTCTCAACATGGTAAAACTGTGCGTCTTTACACGCACTAAAGTAACGCGACGAAAACTGACGCCTTACGGTGCAGATCCACTTGTCCGTGCGACACTTCTGTTGCGCCGCGCTCCACTTTATTCCTATGGATGACGTCACGCGACTTTAACGTGCCCGCAAAGCATCCCGGGAAGGCGGCGCTTCATTTGGAAAAATGCTGCGTCAAAAAGCTGGCCGATGTCCATCTTTATGCAAATGAATTCCGTTGAACGCGACGCGACTATCCAATAGAAGCAGAGCATATGGAGACGGGGGGAAGTCTCTCGCAGGTCCTCTGTTCTAGACTGGCCGCTGGCTCAAAACCACACCCATAGCGGTAAACTTGAGGAACGCCCATCAAAGTACAAATGTGGGGAGGCGTCGCGACACCACGCTACAGTCGTGTCGCAAAAGTGGATCTCTACCGTTAACACGACCAGAATGTGCGTGTCTACGCGTTCAAAAGAAACACGTACAAAATTGGCGCGTCAACGCGGACAAACAGTGCGTGTTGACGCGGTCAAATTTCACGCGTTTCGTAAAAAGACTATTGGCCCCGATCGCGTTCCATAACCAAGCGACACGATACCATTTCGTTTTCAATGGTGAGCGGGCGACTTCCGGCGACACGCGCGTTCGCGACCGTTGGCGACTGGATGGGGCGTGTCTGGCGACGCGACAAAGTTGAGATCTGTTTAACTTTATGCAAATGCAGAGCGACTTTCGAGAGCGACAACCAATAGGAGTGAAGTCAGTGGAGCGCGTCACTCTTCAGTGCTGAGTCTGACCGAGGCAAGTTGAAAGAGAAGGTCATTTTAGCAGTCAGAAACTGTCCTATTATTTATGATATATCTCCGTGTACATACAGTGGTATTCACCGTTCTGACTCCGTGCCTGAATGGTTTCGGGAACCCAGATAGACCCGGTATTTGCCCGTTTTCTGCAGTTAAATAGCCGCGATGGCAAAGAGCACTCACTGTTTCTCGTTCATCTTTAATATTATGCATTTTATGTACTGATTCCATTTATATTTAGACTTTTCCTTCCAAAATATTTGTTTGTAGTGGCAAGAAAACGTATTTGTTGTCTAACATAGAGTAACATCCGTGAATGTCACTCACAAACATTACTAGGCAACCAGTAGTGGGAACGCCCTCCAGCGCAGCCACTGGCGACCTGCAGCAACAAAGTCGCTTGTAGTGTGTGAACGCAGCTGCGGAGCGGGGCGCGACAGAAGTATCGCACAGACAAGTGGATCCGCACCCTGTGGCCGCCATACGCTGTGGTGGCGCGTCAACGTATTCTCTCAGGTATAAATATGCAGCTATAACGCTAGGTGATTTTGATGTAATATTTCATGCCGATATACAATGGTTACATACTGTTAAAACTAATCGTGGTTTTGATATATTTGTAAGACTGCCGACTCTATAAAACTAGAAATCTAACTTTACCGCTCTCCGAGTAGTGGTCGGGAGCATTTCCATTGTGTTGTGGCTTGATTTTGTTGTCTTATGGCTTGATTTCATTGTGCTGTGGCTTGTTTCCGTTGAGTTGTGAACTTGCTTTTTTGTTTGCTTTTTAAATTTCGTTGTGTTGTGCACTACTGGGCCACCGTAGTAGGCTACGTTTACACGACATCGATGTATAAAAATGGGAACGTTTTTTCGTAGTTTATCGCGTACAGACGACAAAATTATCAAAACGATCCTTATTCACACAAATCCGCGAAAACAACTTAAAATGCTGTATTATGCTGTCAGGCCTGTAGTTGTCGAGGTCACTTTGTAAAGAAACACTATATGCACCTATAGACTGAACACATAATACGCATGTGCATAGCGTCACTGTTTTCACAAACTCACGTTTTTGTAGTTTACATGAAGATAACAAAATTGTTTTCAAAAACTTTCTCTTTGAAACCCGTTTAAAAAGGTATGCGTTTTCAGGCCCCCATAAAAACAGTGTCGTGTAACTGGCCCCTAAGAACCTTATTGGGGCCAAAAAAAATTACAAATCATTTGCAAAACATACTTTATTATAATTACATATCTCCATATTCAAAAACTATTTTTTAAGGCATCAATATAAAAACATGCTTTTTCCTCCAGATGGTGCAGTTACATTATCTACCAGCAGGGGCTAACTGGACAATCAGCCAAACTGACCACTAGAAACACACACGGTTTACTCTTACAGCATATTGAGACTCAAGTCAATTAGGAATTCCTTATTATCACATGACAAGACAAAGCCCTTTTTTATTGGTTCAGAGAAACACACTCTCTGTGTGAAAGTATTCAAAAGGCAAGAAAATACAGACGTCCCACCATCTGCTCAGGACGCAGGAAGTCTTTCTGTGGTAAGATTACAAAAAACACACACAGACAAGACACTCACATATCGAATTTACAGATGTAAATTCAGCAAACTATTTTTTATATTTTAAGTATGTAATTTAACTTTTTATATATATATTTTTAATGAATTACTAATTTTACTAATTTAATTAATTGCCTCACTGGGTCTTTATACAATATTTTACATTTAACATTTTCCATTTACACCAAAAATGAGGCCTAATCAAGTTGTTTTTTCATAGATATTCAAGTGCCTGTACAATGACTGTGAGTCAATTGTGGACAGCAGAGTCTTTTGGCCTCTGTTTCGAACGACTGAATGACTCATGTGTAAAGACTGTCTATTCTCCTGTCATTCGTGCTCCCCTCTACTTCCTCTTTGCTATAACCATCATTGTGATTGTGTTCGGCAACCTGTGGGTCATCTGCACCATCTCCTTTTTCCAGGAGCTCCGCACACCCACCAACTACCTGATCGTCTCGATGGCCGTAGCCGACCTGCTCCTGGGCAGTTTTGTCATGCCCCCCGGTATGGTGCGCTCTTTGGAGACGTGCTGGTATTTTGGAGACCTCTTCTGCAAGTTTCACTCCGGCACTGATTTTACGCTGTGTAACGCATCTGTTTTGCACCTCACGTTCATTTCAATTGACCGTTATTACGCAGTTTGTCAACCACTGCAATATCACAGCAGAATTACCACGCGTGTGAGCATAGCCATGATCCTGTTCAGCTGGTGCTTCTCTGCCTTTATTGGCTTTGGCATCATATTCTCAGAGCTGAGAATCGAGGTAAAAAGAACCGAGGAGCTGCATGTTGCTTGCAAGGGAGGGTGTTTAGCATTGCATGGAAGAGAAATCGGAGTGACATATTCGATTGTGTTTTACTTCCTCCCCATGTTTATAATTGTCAGCATTTACAGCAGGATTTTTGTTATAGCACAGAAACATATTCGTGTTATAAATAACTACCCTTCAAACTCATCAGTTAGTAAAAAGGATCTGAAAGCCACTAAGACGCTTGCTATTGTCATTGGAGTTTTTATGTCTTGCTGGACACCTTATTTCATGTGTAACATCATAGATCCTGTGGTTAACCACACAATACCAGCACTGTTATATGAGGTTCTAATGTGGGTGGCTTATTTGAATGCAGTATTTAACCCGATGATTTATGCTTTCTTTTACGGCTGGTTCAGAGAAAAATCCAAACTTTTATACAAAAAACTATATAAATTGTGCTAAAGTGCCTATTATGAAATCTAGAACCACATGCTATTTCATTTCTTCCTTCTGAATGTTTTCTGCTTCTTTCATTAACATCATTGCCATTGCATGTGAAGTTTCTATTTGTTATAAAAGGTTTTGAACCACATTATAATCATTTTAATTAAAATAATCATTAATAAATCATTATAATGAACTCTGATACTTAAATTTAATATACAGAACATGCATGCACTTATTCAGTCACTGTTAACCAGGTTTCTATTTCTATTATGTTTTGATCATTGGTTTTTGCTTTAATGATGCACATTTCCTACTGCCTTTCTTTCTTAATCATTTGTTCTTGAATAATCTAAGGAATTTAATGCTTCTTGAGCATCAAACAAACCTGTGTTTGTGTTTAAATCATGCAATACATAAAATAAGACATTTGGTGTGCTTTCATTCCCTATAAGATCAACTGAGGCCTTTTGACTCATATAACCTCCTAATTCTGTCCTATTGTTTCTTATGTTGGCTATACCTATCTATACCTATACCTCTTAAATCCTTAATATCATAAAATAATTTGTGATGTGATATCTAAGTATTGCTATTAATAACAAAATTGTATTATGATAGAATAATTCATTTATGTAATAAATGTACTTGCAACATATAAATGTTTCAACAAAGTTACTATAACTCTCTCACTTTATACTTGTACATACGACATTTAAGGTAGCCTATATTGTTTTATATTATTGCTAGGGCTGTCAATCGATTACAATTTTTTATCTAATTAATTACATACTCTGTAATTAATTAATCTAAATTAATCGCATACACAATCTTACAATGTTTACATGGTACAATTTCTGGTAAGCTACGTTTTTATTATTATTGCTTGACACAAATTTCACGATTTCAATATAATTTAATTATTGTGATTTGATGCAATATTGACTCATTTGGATAAATAGGTACACAAGATAGGCATTCATTTTTCTCAAGAAAAAAAAAATCTCACCCAATGCTGTAAAAATACAGAGAGCCATATCAGCTGGTAGTATTTAAGGTTAAAAATAGCTCAAATTAAATATAATGCGTGTTTATTACAAATAACAACTTTGATATAAGTAAAAATATAATACATATGTAATATAGTAGTAGGCTACATACATTTAGAAAAATACTCTCTATAGCTCTTTTTTTATAGCCAACTAACGTGCTATATGGTCATGAAATAGCTTTCCTGAGGTAACTTAGGCTAAATGTTATGTGACATAATTGTTCTCCAGCTGTTTTATTGACCTCTTTTCGCGGTTGAAAAACACTGATTGATCGAGGAATCTACATTTCGGTAAGTTTTAGGCTGCCCTACTTTATCTTTCAACATTGGTCATTCGTGTTTATTTACTATTAGCTAGAGATGATCGTTCACGTGCCGATTGGGATCTGTCATGACTCATGTCACATTTACAAGCGCCAAAACGGTATTTATTGTTTGATTTTCGTAATAAAATTGACAGTATCATAAGTAACGTGCTCTGTCTTGTCTGTTTCCGTGTCCTCTCTTTGGTGCGCGATTTTTCTGTGCGTGAGAAAATGGTTGTGTGACGTGAGAGCGCGTGAAAAGTTACAACACACACACACACACACACAAGCGCGCTTTCTCTCAGACACACTCACCGACTCACGCACACACTCCTGGATGCTTTGCATTGATGTGGTACTTTAGAGTTGACGAACTCCGTTTGTTATAAGTAAATGTTCCAAACAATGATCCAAGCAGCGCGTTCTTGTCTCCCTCATTCTTTTTACACGAATGGTGGCTACGGCTAGAACGGCTCCGCAAAGGTCAAAACGGATCAATGGATTAATCTGCGTTATTTTTTTTAACGCGTTATTTCTTCTCAGATTAATGAATCGAAATTAACGCGTTATTTTGACAGCCCTAATTATTGCCTTAATAAAATCACTACTGGCCCCCAGTTAAAATGGTCCGGGAACTACGGTGACCGGGAGGGGACATGTTCGGTTCACTTATTTTTGTCGTGGCCACAACATATAAACTCGTGGGAACGTATTAAGTCGTGGGAACGTCATATTAAGTCGTGAGAACTAGTGTTGTCAAAAATATCGATATTTCGATAAATATCGATACTGAAATATCTGAACGGTACCAATACTAATTTCCCGAAGTATCGATACTAGCCGAGCAGTCACGTTCACTTCTCTCAAAAGGCGCGTTGACAAACACCACACGTGACGCACTCGTCTCATTCGCTCTGGTTAAATAGCAAAAGTGAAGTGAATGGAAAGATGGCGAGGGCCGCGCCCCCGCGACCGGCTTTGGTTGATTGATAAAGAACACCACGAGCGGGCATGTCGGAGAATAGCGCGGACACGCTTAAAAAACACACCGCGAGCGGGCATGTCGGAGAATAGCGTGGACACGCGCTACACACCGCGAGCGGGCATGTCGGAGAATAGCGCGGACGCGAGCGGGCATGTCAGAGAATAGCGCGGACACGAGCTACACACCGCGAGCGGGCATATCGGAGAATAGTGCGGACGCGAGCGGGCATGTCGGAGAATAGCGCGGACACGCGAGCGGGCTGCGGGCACCCAACAGATTGTTTGACTATCAATAATCCCTCACATCACTCATTTTTTTAAATTATTGTATAGGTGAAAACAGACTTAAGGAACAGGCTCCAGGGGTAGGCTACTATTTAGCAGCAAATGCTCAGCATCAGGGGTGTTTGTTGTTTGGACAGACCTGCCCCCACTGCTAAAAAAAAAATCCTCAAGGAAACACTGTAACTCTTCCCATTTGAACTTTTCTGAAACATTAACCAAGATGGCCTAGTATTGTTGTTGATAAGAGTCTGTGTTGTCTCGTTTTAATTCTTAAAGTTAACATAATCTGACTGAGGAATCTTAGACAAGTAAATATTGTAACTGTGGTCAAATGTAAATTAACTGGTGCCTATTTAACTTTATTCAAAAAATATTATTTAATTCTGCAATTTTCCTTCATTAGCTATTATCATCAATTTGATTACACAGATATTAATTAAACTAAACAGCTAGACAATGGCATCTCTGAATTCAATAATGACATGCCTTTAACTGAAAATTGAATGTTTAATCTTATTATTATACATTACTGACTCTCTATCCTCCAAGAACTCAGGACATTTTTGTTCATGTAAAATATACCTCATTGTCATGTTCTAGACTTGTTATATTTAGCTTTAAATTAAAAAAATACCCCCTTAATATTGTGGCAGTTTTTTCTCCGTGGTATCGAAAATGGTATCGAATATCGATATTTTTCAAGGTATCGTATCGAAGTTAGAAATTCTAGTATCGTGACAACACTAGTGAGAACGTCATATTAAGTCGTGGGAACGTGATTATAAGTCGTGGCCACGAGATCATTTTGTTGAGGTAACGACATCATTATGTCGTGCGTGGCCACGCGATGCAAAGTCGTAGCCTCGAGATCATATGTTGAGGGAACGATATATTTTTCTCGTGGCCACGACTTCATATTTTGAGAGAACATGTCGTTCTATTTGTCGTGGCCACGACCCAGATAGCAATGAGTCGGCGGACCACCGTCGGTTCTCCGGCGGCAGTAGAAGCGTCAGAATGGCGACATCGCAAACACGTTGGACGGCGCACCGCCGGCGGCAGCCGCTTTTTAAAAGCGGCAGCCGCCTTCCTACCGCCTTCGTTAAGCGGCCGGCCCGCGGGCCAACCGCCGTTCCGCCGCCTTTATATTGAAGGCCGTCCTTCCGCGGCCCGCCGGAGGCAAACGCTATTTTCGAGCGCTCTGCCGCCGCTTATTCTGGCTATATATATATTTTTTATTTATTTATTTATAGCATGCAGTTTATCAAGAATAATGATTGCTCAAACCAGACAAATTTACAATTGGCATTTTTATTCTACATTTCAAAGTACAGTAACTGTCATTTAAACAAGATGTTTCAGATCACTGAAACATAACAGAAAAATAAATAAATCAATATACTAACATGCAGGTTTCCAATTCAATTTTGGTTAAACAGCCTTACAAGCAAATTACAACACTTACAATAAGTGTTCATATAAAAAGGACAGCTCTAGGGTAAAAAATTACCAGTAAACATTATGACAAGTAAAGAGGATATTTGATACCAAATAATGTGCAAGATACCAAATAAATAAAAGTATAACTACATTTACAAACCATTTCTAACAATATGATAAGTGGTAGTAATTTATAGTAAAGCTCTGGAGTAGAATAGGCCATTATAACCCCAATGCTGACCTGTGGCACAAGGATTTACAAGCTTTATTTGAAAAAGAAAAAAAGAAAGTAATTTCCACAGTGAGTGAGTGTAGTCTGACACTTCTGACTTCTTTAAGGGTCTTGATTCTACTGACTGCAAGATAAAGAAAGGATTCCAGTTGTCAGTGATTCTGGGGTGTCAGTAGTCAGTCTAGTTTTAAGTGGTCGGCTGTGGGTCCCTCTCAGCTGTGCGGCGCCTTTTTCTGCCTTCACGGTCAGATGCTCCTTTCAGGTAACGCGTAACGTTAACCTGGACCGCCTCATCAGTGCATCCTGGGTTGCCGGGTCCTTCCGGATGGCTAATATAGAAAATACAGATCTGTCATTTAATTTGAATTGCATGAGGACAATAGGACATACACATCTACTTAAATCTAAAAAAAAATATCCAACTTACTTTGAACAATGGTCTTCAGGAACATGTCTCTAAAACATGCTTTATCCCCTACACCAAGCTGAAAATCCAAAAAAGTGTTACAAATTACATTTCTCTGAAGCTTCTCATAAATAAATAAAAAATGTGAAAGGCTAAGGATTCAGACTGTAATATATGCAGTATACAATGTTAAATTTTACTTTATATCTAGGTCTACTACATGTACAGGTAGCCCCAGTGGGAATTAAACCTACAACCACAGGTGCTGTTTGCAAGTTGTACCTAATTGCTCAGTGCAAGCAAACGTCTTCAACATTGTTTGTTGAACTTGCTTCACCTGCTCTTGAAGTAAGATTTTACAATTCGTATTTTTATATGTAATATTGTAGTGTTTATTATAAATGATTTATCTGTGCACTTCATTATTCTTTTAAAATTCATGTAGCCTTATAATCTTTAATCAAATACGTTACCCTTCCCTCCCCCCTCGAAACGACTTCTCTTCTCTTCCGGTCATGTGCTGTGGCGCGAGGGCGTGGCAACTCCCCTCAAACCGTGCTATGAGCAGAGATGGAGAAGAGGAGCGCTAGAGTAAAACCCTGCCCTCCGTTCAATATACCGTTTCACTTTTAAATACGTCACAACACTGGAGAGATGGACATGACAGAAGAAATAACATTTTACTTTAAATTAGGAATGTCATATAAATATATAGTGCGGTCTTTGGCATTAAGACATGGGTACGTTATAAGTAAAAGACACCTGAAGCGCATTCTTAAATTGAATGGGCTTTTTTGTCGCAGTTTTGCACTGGCATGAAGTTGGTTTGACGTTGGACGTTCGATATTCGCAATTTAGGGACCGTCTCAAAATTACATGCGACATTGGCATAAACGTTTCCAACTTCAATAGCATTTGAAGACAATGACTTACAGTCATAAAACGACCTGTACATTGTTCACCCAGGTCTCATGTATGATGCACACCTTTTAGATTTTTGATATTTATGACAATAAACTGCTAAATCATATGCAAATAATGCTACGTATTATAATGCAGGTAACGACAAAATGTTATTTCTTCTGTCATCTCCATCTCTGCTGTAGCCCAGTCTATGCTATGGTACGGTTACAGAATTGGCCGCTGTGGCTCCCTCAACATAACTCGTGGCCACGACAAATAGATTTAATTCTCTCAAAATATGAAGTCGTGGCTACGAGAAAAATATATCGTTCCCTCAACATATGATCTCGAGGCTACGACTTTGCATTGCGTGGCCACGCACGACATAATTATGTCGTTACCTCAACAAAATGATCTCGTGGCCACGACTTATAATCACGTTCCCACGACTTAATATCACGTTCCCACGAGATATTAGGCTTGTTTGAGATGAGCAAAATCTGCGCAGAACCGATCACCGGTGATCAGCGCGAGATGCATGCCGGTTAGAAATGTGTCCGAGTGGCGTGACTTTTTTTCCCAAACAACTTCA